ATCCCCCTGGGAGGTGATTTCTCGCTTTCTGTCTCTCTGTCTCTGTTTTTCTGGTGAGTGCACGTGCCCTATAACAAAAACCTCTCAAAAAAATTATTTGCAATAACTTTATGTGGATTATTGAGCCTTATTTTTTTAATTTTAAATATTTATGAGAGGGTTGCCTTTATAGGCTTTGTGTTTTTTGTTTTGTTTTAGGTTTTTGTTATAGGGCATATGTGCTTGCCAAAGAGAGACTATGAGAAGGAAAGGGAGAAATCACCCTTTGGGGGGTGTATACTGCAATCTTTTTTTTTTCCTACTCACCTCTTGGGATCTGGGGCATGCACACACGTGCCTAGTGTGATCCTCAAGCCGCCACGTTCAGGACTTGAACCACGGTTGGCCAATGTCAGAATCCAGCATCCTGACCACTGTACCACCTGCTGGCCCCTATAGGGTTATACAGGGATCCTCCCCTCCCTTTATCCAGCCAGCCAGTATCACAGATCCAGTGAATTCAGGTGAATCCAGGATTGGAATCCAGGGCATTCTCCTGTGACTGTTGCTGTGCTGCAGCCTCCATCTGCCCCATTTGGGCCCATTGAGCTTTTTTTAATGGCTTCTGTTCTCTAAACTACAGTTAAAATGCTGGTTTGCTTATCCCGCCCTCTAACAAAAAGCTTTTACCCACAGAAACTAGCATCTTTACAGTTATTTTGCATATGTTAATGAGTCATAATCTAGGTGTTGGCCTTGCAGTCATTAGTGACTTATGTGTGATCACACTTAAAGAGTTCTACCCATATCTGGAACCTCAACTTAGACCTTCTACCTTAGAAGAGAATGATTTTAAAAGTGCTTTTAGGGACCAGCAGATGGTGTGGAGGCTAAGGTAAGCTGGATCTCCCACATGGCCAATTGTGGTTCAAGTCACAGACCTGGCAGCTTGAGGAACACACCAAACGTGTGTGCCTCAAATCTCAAGAGACGTGTAGGTCGGGACCAGCAGGTGGCGTGGTGGTTAAGGTGCTGGACACTCCCACATGGCCGACCACGGTTCAAGTCCTGGACCTGGTAGCTAGCTTTCCCACTTTCTCTCCCTCTCTCTCTCTGTCTCGCTCTGGTCAAATTAAAATAAATGAATGAATAAATTTAAAATTTTTTTTAAATATATTAAAAAAAAATCTCAAGACAATGGAGGAGAAGGGATTGTGGCATGGCCATCTCTCCAGGGCATGCTTTCTCACTTTCTCTGTCTCCAGAAAGCACATGTGCCTTATAGTAGAGTGGGGGCTGGGGAGGGGGCCTGGAGTTTGTTTCTGTTGATGGTACAGGTTGAATACTCCTTATCTGAAATGTGTGGTTCCAGAAGTGTTTTGGATTTCAGATTTTGGGATATTTGCACATACATAATGAGACATCTTGGGGACAGGATCTAAATCTAAACAGAAAATTCATTTGTGCTTCATACATACTTTTATACACTATCCTGAAGGTAATTTTATATAATATTTTTCTATTGCAGCACTTTGCAACCTGTCACAGGTCAGGTGTGAAATTTTCTACTTGCCAGCACTCAGAAAATTTCACATTAGGGATACTCAGGCTATAGTGGTGGGACCACTTTGTATGAAGATCTTTACCTTTTCTCAGGTGGTACCACAACCTGTGCTGCAGAAGGTCTGGCTTATTCAGTGATGTCCTTTTGATTCCCTCTGGCTCTTACATTTGCTCCGTGCCAGCATGTTGCCTTGATTCCTTTTTATTCTCATTGGCACTTAGGTTTCTCCTTTGGGAAGGCAGAATTGGGTAATGATTATGAGTTGTAGATAAAATCAGACTGTCTAGGTTTCTATCCTGGCTTTAAGTATACTTCATTTGTATATACCTCATAGCTTCATTGACAATATAGAGATAACTACCTACATTATAGAGTTGTCATGCAGATTGAATGAGATACCACCAGTATATATGGATGGCATCCAATCCATAATAAAAATTCAAAACTTGTTAGATGCTACTTATATTTCAATTTGATGTCCAGTGAATTAACCAACATTTTCCCAATATGTGTTTGGAGTTCTAAGAGTGGGAGTTCTGCCATACTGTTAAGGTTGCAGACAATAGGAAGGGTCCTCAAAGTTAATGGAAAATGTGCACTATGGAAAAATGATGCATGGATTTCAAAATTATTTGCACCAAAAAGAATTTGTACTTTAATTCCATTTTCCCACAAACTTAAAGTTTATTTCTTTCATGAGAGAGAGAGAGAGAGGGGCATCCCCCAATGGCATCTCACTATGATCTCCAACAGCCTGAGCCAGCCAGCATCATGGTGCACCTGGAGTGGACAGATTGGGGAGTGGAATCCACAATCTTCTGTATAGATTCAACTTTGCTTGAACATTATGGTACCGTGCTGGCCCTTTCCATGAACTTTTTTTTTTTTTTTTTTTTTTTTTAAGAATTTTTTAACTTTTTTTTTTTTTTTTTTTTCAGTTTGATCAGAGAAAGAGAAGAAAAGTGAGAAAGCAAGCCACCAGGTCTGGGACTTGAACCATGATCAGCCATGTGGGACCCCAGCACCTTTAGCTACCTGTTGGCCTCTCCATGAACTTTTTAAAGTCCCTGCATATACTTTTTCCTGGAGATCCAAAACAAGCTTAACATATCCATAACATATCCATTAGGGCCAGTAGGTGGTGTGGAAGTTAAGGCACTGGATCCCACATGGCTGACTGTGTGGACTGAGTCCCAGACCCACCCAGCAGCTTGAAAAATCATGGCTGGGCTTTGTATGTGCATGCCTAAAATCCTATGGAGAATGGAGGAAAAGAGATTGGGATAGCCATCCCCTCTGGAGGGGGTGATTTCTCAGTTTTCCTGTCTCTCTATCTGACAAGTGCCTGAGCCCTATAGTAAAAACCAGAAAGGGGGGGGGGAATCCTGTTCAGTATTTTAATCAGGTGTTTGACCACAATTATAGTACATATTAACTTTCCATACTACAGTTGGTAAACACTGGACTCATAACCTTCTAGTATACTCCCATTTGTACTTTGGAAGGACTTAACCAGAAGCTGTACTTTTGGTCCCTGTTTCCTTTCAATCCCCCAAGAATTTGTTCTTCCCAAAAAGACACAAGTACAAGTGAAACCAATTATTTTTAGGTGAAAAATGTTCCATTTTGACCCATTCTTCCAAAATTGCCACTAGGTGGTGCTAAAATGCAAATCTGTTATCCAAATGGACTAGTTTCCTATCCTAAGTGAAAAGTGATCAAAGCATTTGTTGAGAGTCAGCATCATAAGTCAACTTACTATTCACTAAAGTTGTCTGAAGGACTTTTTCAGTTTTCTCTTGACATTATTTCTGGATAAAAGGAGGCCATTTGAACCTAGTAATAGAAAGTAACCAAAGTGGTAGACTTATTTATATCGTTACGAAGAGAAAAAAAGCAAAGTTTAAAAATAATTCCTTAGCTTTTTAAAATATATATAAAGTAGAGGGGCCGCCAAGTAGCATGGTGGTTAACCACAGTTCAAGTCTTGGAGCTGGCGGCTTGCTTTCTCACTTTCCCACCCTCCCTCTCTCTCATTCTGTCCCTCTCCAGTAAAATTTAAATAAATAAAGTTAAATAACTCTTTAAAAATATGTGTAGAAGAGAATAGAAAGTCTTTGAGAAAAACAACTTAGCGTAGTGGTCAAGAGTGGTCTTTGCAGTGTTTGTCTTGGATTCAAATCCTGTCTCTCGACTTAGTAGTTCTGTGATCTCAAACACAATGCTAACTTTACTTTCCATACTGTAGACTGTTGGTGGTCTTAAGAAACCTTTAAGTGTACAATACTAGTGAAACTTAGATTTTAGAGTGCTATTAGGGGAATAAAATAGAATAAGTCTATAAAGCTCTTAGAAAAGTACCTGGCATATAGTAAGTAATAAATATTATTCTAAATCTTTCTTTTTCTTTTTTCTGTGCAGCTTATTTTCAGTTGCTTTTTAAAGACGGAAAACTCATGGTACAAATTATTATTTCCAGGTGAGTACCTTTTGAGATTTTTTTTTTTTTAAATTTAACTTGAATGATTAGGCCTTTACAGGTTTGCGATTTTCCTGGAAGAATCAGGGTCTTCAGGTGCATCTTGCACAAGTCCTTGCATTTGCATCTCTAGTTCAGTGCCTAGCACTGCCTGGTTTCCCAAGAACTTGTATACAACAAAGAGGTCCTCTGGGCCTTGAATGGTGGTGTAGGACACTACTCATCCTTCACCCCTCAAAAATATTGTAACCGCCAGCCCTTTGCTTGCAGTGCGGGGGCTGGAGGCCTGGCAGAATGGGTGCTGATGGAGCTACAGGGGGAGATCGAGGCTCGCTACAGCACCGGATTAGCTGGAAACCTCCTGGGAGACCTACATTACACCACTGAGGTGAGGGGCTTTTCTTTCCCTGCCTGATGCCTCAGGAAAGTGAGCTACACCAAGGTGGTACTCCCAGGATCCAGTGTGAGGACTGCCCTCAGGTTTGTTATTCCAAGTCTAGCTAATCTGTGAAGCTACCTGCTTATTCTCCCCCCACCTCCGCAGGAGCAGGGAAATGTAGCTTTGAAGAATCTGCAAAGGTCACATTTCTCAAAGTAGAAATTATCTTATGTGGGGATAGAAAGGGTAAAATTGGTACGAGGGTGGTTGTCCAGTGTGGCTGGTCAGCAATGGTAGAGCCAGACCAGGGAGCAGAGGTGCCATCATTGCTTGCCAAGAATAGCTTTAGATGGCACCTGAGTGTGATGGCCTTGTCCTGAACCTCAGGCATCTTATTCTTGTTCTGCCAAAGGGAATCCCTGTGCTGATCGTGGGGCATCATATCCTGTATGGGAAAGTCATCCATCTGGAGAAACCTTTTGCAGTCCTTGTCAAACACACTCCTGGGGAGCAGGCCTGTGATGAGCTTGGCCGCGAGACTGGCACCCAGTACCTGGTGACAGCACTCATCAAAAACAAGATCCTTTTCAAAACCCGCCCCAAGCCAATTATCACCAACGTCCCCAAGAAAGTATGAAAGAACCCCGGATTTTCCCTAGAGAGCGGCCAACTCCTTGGACTCGTGCTCCGCTGCCACCTCGAGGACGGCTCGACAGTTCCCTGGGACCACAGGGTGGTCCTGTTCTGAACACAGGCCACCCACTGGGCGTGAACTCGGATCCTTTCCTCATGGCAGCTGGTTCTCTTGGTGGAAATCTGGCCCCGTTTCCAAGGAACCCATCACCTTTTCCAACTTCATCAGGCTCACTGGCTTCAAACCCAGCTACCTTCCAAAACTGGTGCTCGTGACCCAGGCATGGCTTCTTTTCCAAGAGGGATGAATCCCACTGGCACAGGCGCAGTTTCTTTCCCAAGGCCAGGTGGTCTCTTGGGCCCAGGCCCTGGTTCGGGCCCGGGCCCGGGCCCGGGGCTAGGCCTAGGCCCAGGCCCAGGCCCAGGCCCAGGCCCAGGCCTCGGCCCAGCTCTAAACCCAACTCTAAACCCTAGAACAGGGACTCTTCCAGGCCCGGGGCCTCTGTCTAACCCCAGGTTAGGGGGGCTCACAGGACCAGGTCCTATGTCCAACCCAAGGGCAGGTGGTCTCCTGGGAGCTGGTCCTGACCCCAGAAGTGGGGGACCCATGGGCCCTGGATCTGGACCCAATCTGAGAGCAGGTGTCCTGCTGACCTCTGGGAATGGTCCTCCCAATTCTAGGCCAGTTGGCCTGGGCCCTGGACCAAGTCCCAGTCTGAGATCAGGTTTTTTAGGGACAAACCCTGCCCCTAGGTCAGGTGTGTTTTCAGGCCCAGGCCTTGGTCCTAACCCAAGGGTGGGTGGCCTGGGCCCAGGACTTGGGCCCAACCCAAGGGCAGGTGGCCTGGGCCCAGGCCCTAATCTAGATACCAGAGCAGGTGGCCTCTTGGGCACAGGATCTGGTCTTAACTTAAGAATGGCTGGACCTCAAGGTCTAGATCTTGGCCCCATTCTGAGAGCAGCAGGTCTTTTAGGAGCAAATTCAGCTTCTTTCTCACAGGCTTCTGGAAACATGGGCACAAGCCCATCTTCGATGGCAAGAGTACCTGGCCCTATAGGCCCCAACTCGGGTCCCGGCTCTCGGGGCATTGGCCTTCCAGGGCCAAATCCATCTCCCATGTCAAGAGCTCCTGGTCCTATAGGTCCTAATTCAGCTCATTTTTCAAGACCAGGCTGCCCCATGGGAGTAAATGCCAATCCCTTTCCAAGGGGGACAGGTTCAGGAGGACTAAATCCAACTGCCTTCTCTCAGTCTTCTGGCACATTGGCTTCAAACCCAGCTACCTTCCAAAGGTCTGCTGGCCTCCATGGCTCGAGTCCAGCAGTTTTCCCACGAGCCTCTGGTCCACTAGGCCCCAACCCACCTAACTTCCCAAGGGCCACTGGCCTGCAGGGTCCAAGTCCAACTGCCTTCCCAAGGTCTGCTGGCCCATTAGGCCCTGGTCAGGTTGCTTTCCCTAGGTCAGCTGCTGGGCACCTGGGTGCTTCTCCAGCAGGCCCTGTGGGTATCAACCCAGCTCCTTTTGCGAGGCCAGCTGCACCCCTGGGTTTAAACCCAGTTTCTTTTCCAAGGATGAATGGCCCTGCAGGCAAGAGTTTGGTCCCGTTTCCTAGAGTGGGGAGCCTTCCTGGTACAAGCCCAGCTGCTTTCCCCAGACCAGGGGGTCCAATGGCTGCAATGTATCCAAATGGAATGCTACCCCCGTAAACACCATTTTTCCCCCCAGGCCACCTTGGTTTCCCAGCACTGTGGTTCTGGGCAGAGTCTGTCTCTTAGGCAAAAGGGTAGATACGGAGCTATGGTCTAAACCTAGCTGGGGCTCAAATTTAAGTGAGCCAGTTTTTTCTTCTGCTTTTTTCTTGACTTAAGGTAAAATGTCATTGGTGGGACATGGACAACGGCAGGTGGGAATGATCCTGGTTTGGAGGGTAAGGATCCCCAGCCTTCTCGAAGCTTGCTGTGTTTTGGTCTCACAGCTTTCTGCCCTTGTTTCTTACTAGTTTCTTGAATTGTTCTTGTGGACTTTTCCTCAGGGATACACTGGCCTGCAGGTCCCAATTCACATGTAGTCCCCTCCTCACCACTGGAGAATCGGCTCATGCGCTCAAGAAACAGGGCAGTGGTGAATGGACCATACTTCGTTAGCTCTGACTTGGGCAGCTTGGACCTGGTCATCCTCTACTGCCACACCCTCCCCTAGGGGTTTGGACACAGAACAGGGAGGTGAACAACCACTTCAAAGACCCTCCAAATATTATTTCTGCTTGACTGTCTGGGCCTGCAGCTCCCTGCTCCTGGGGCTAAAGAGGTGGCCAGATTTAAGTCACCTCTACTCATCCAGCTCCCTCGCCACTGGTACTCCCAATCAAAGAACCTCAAAATTTAAACTGATGTGGATGGGGATATGGGAATTGGGGTGGGTGGGTGGGATGAAGGGGAGAAATCACTGTGCTTCGTTCAGCCTGATGTGAAAGGATGATGTTTTTCCTGCATTGTATCTTTTCTTACTGTTTCTTTAATAAATGGGACAAGAGGGCTGCTGATGCTGTCCATTTTGTTAACCTCTTCCCCAAGGAAGGCAGTTTACCCTCTAGCCCTGCATAGCCACAGTTAGGACATCATTTGCCAGCTAAAATGCTCTCCTCTCAAGGAAGAAACTAGCTTTGTCTTTGCCTAAGCAAGAGTTCGTTCTAATCTGGCAATTATTGGGTCTTTGAGAGAGTCAGGACACATTTTCACATAGAAAAACACATCATGACTTTCCTAGCAACCTAATATTTCCCCCAGAGACTTTGCCCTGCCTCTGCTGCAGAAGCTACTCCACCCTGGGTCCCCAGATCCAGGGGCAGCTGTGACAACAACTTATCCTACTTTTGAGTTTATTGACTATTTCATGTAAGTCCCTGTTTTGAAACTGGAATTAAGGGCTAGCTTTTTAAGTACTGAGAAGAAATAGTTCAGATACCAGCATTAAGTGAGAATCTTTATTTTCACAAATAAGTACAGTATAAAAAATTTGACCTGAAAAGTAAAAAAAGAAAAAAAAGGTAAAAATAAATATGTGTACAAATTATCATAGAAATAATACAAAAGAGGGTTAAAATTCTCAATGAGGAAAACCCAGAATGCATCCAGTTGTATAAAGGCTCTTCCCTTGCAAGAAATGGGGATAAAGCTGAAGACCTGGTTTGGCTTTGCTGCTGGAAAACGTACAAAGTAACTTAGAAAAGCCAGTTGAGGTTGAAAGTAGTCTGCCCACTCATCTGTACCTGCCTTCATTTGAGATGAGGAAGGCTGATGTTAGGACAGTCAGCAGTTCTCCATCCAGAGTCCATCATCGTACATGAACTTTCAAGTAGAAGCTAAGGAAAATTAAGCCCTTAGTGTGACCTCTGCAGTTGGTTGACCGGATTTCCTCCACTGTAGTGCTCAAAATAGTTACTTCTTAGCCAGCAGAAACACAGAAGAGTCTAGAATGGCTGTCTTTACAAATGCCTCCTGCTTCCCAGCTTGGGCCTGACATCCTCCAGCAGTCTTATCAGAAACTCGAGGTCTGTGTGATGTGGCAACTGTTGGTTACACCTAGCAAACCCTTGAGTTCATGGAAGATGATGGAAAGCACCAGGGTTTGCCCATCTGTGGCTCAGCACATAATTTGTTCCTTTGTAGGAAGCACCTGGGTACATTAGAGGCTTGACTCCCTCGACTGCTCTCCACCTTGGTGCTGGTTCTGAGGGGTTGACTGGCCTCTCTGAGAATGGACATTTGGAGAGCAAGTATGTGAGCAGTCCCTAAGTCAAAGGCTTAGGCAACATTCCAGGTTTCAAACCCAAACACTGGTAAGTCTGTGGATTGCACATCACTAAAAAACAGCTTCTTACTCCCCTAAAAGCCACAAGGAGAAATCACACAGCACAAGGGAATGCAAGAATCATATGATGTAGGAACCAATTCCATCTCTTAGTTTGGTTTCTGGAAAGAAGCAATTTCAGTAGTGACTATCCATAACCCGGCTGTAAGAATTCCCTGGAGAAGCAACTGAGGAGGACGGACAGTCTCAAGGATGACCAGCTTGGATTTGAGGGCTCACTTTGGGAACACTGGAAAGGTTTCCATTGGAGATGATTGTCAGTAATAGTAGACCAGAAGTCCACATGCTCACCAGCTACCAGGAAATCCGTCCAGGCAGGTCCAAGATTGTAGCCAGTTTGATCAGAGGCTCCTAAGTTCTCCAGTGAGCCAAGAGCATGATTGCCTATTGTAGAGGGTCCTGTAAGAAGCAGGTACTGTCCCAGTACCCCCTAGAAAACCTAACCCATGATAATGATGAGGGTTTTAAGAAGTAACTGCAGTTATACACCCAAAAATAATGCCTTTCAAAAAAGTCAAGTGAGGAAGCTATCTTGGTTTCATCTCACAGTTGAATTTGAGAATAATTGAGGAGTCTAAAAGTATAAATACCAAGGACCTCACTCTCTTTCTAAATATGTAGAGATTTAATCTTCCCAGTAGATAGCTAAAATGATTTGTCTTCCCAGCAGAGATCACACACAAGCAAGAATCCATCTAGGAGTCAGAGAGATTTCCAAGTGGCACATACTCAGTCTAAGGTCTATATAGGCCATGGCCTTTAGTACCACCATGATCTTTGTTCCTTATGGCAAGCTTCTAAAAAACACACTTTTAGTAGTTCAGTGCTAACTCCCTGCTGTTTGGGCTCATCCCTGGGATGTTGAGATGCGGAGTAGAGTAAATACATCATGTAAAGCACCATTCCTGGACCCTGTTTTCTGACACCCAAAGATCAGGCCTCTGGGCCTTGTATCTCAGGCTCGATCATATTGCATTGATGGCTAGTTGGGGGCTGGGGAGGTGGGGACACTAGCTGGCCCAGATCTCTCAGTAGGAATTCTCCCACCATCTCTGGTTGTGTTCACATGGGCTAGGAGAACCCTTTCCTACCGGCTCTCATTGCTCACTTAGTAGAACTTGCTACCAAATGTAATTTGTAGTTTAGTGTAGCACACTTCTGAGCTCCTATTCCCTCTGTATCCCAGGGAGAAGAAGTAGAATCTTCCCCAGAGACCACTGCCTGTATGCAGAGGCAAAGCAGATAGGCAGCCTGAAAACATACCCCCTCTATCCTAAGCCTGAGAAATCAGTGTTACTGTCTCTAAGCAGCACTGCTCAGGCCATACTACAGTCAACTATTCTTTGCATTTCATATTTGTCCTTTGGACCATTAAGAAACAAAAACACAGCACTCCCTCCTCCCTCCCACCCCACTTTTCCATTCCCCTTCCCTCCCTTGCCCATTGCACTTTTCCCGCTCTGATAGGGGACTATGTCACACCTCAGCAAAAGCCAGACTATACTGCTCTGGCTTCTTTCCACATCGCCGGGCAATGATGGCCAGATATAACATGAGGAGGGCCACCCAGTAGCACCCATACAATATGGCACCAGAGACAAGGAAGGCTAGCTCTGTCTCACTAAACAGGTCCTGACAGTAAGCCGTGTAGGCTAGTCCCCCCAAAAGAACTGCCACCCAGATTGACACAGGGATGAGGCCAATGAAGTTCACCACAATGGTTTTTCGACCAGAGGTGCCCCAGCCAGACTTGTTGATGGTAGCAATGGCAAAGATCTTGGCCGGCAGGAGGCTAGACATATAGAGAAGGGAGTAGAGAGACATGAAGATCATCTCTGCATTGCCCCGAAGGAAGCAGGCATAGGTAGCCTTGATAATGCCCACCAGCTGCACTGTCAGCAGAAAGAGGAGAATGTTCCAGATGCGACCCCGGTAGAAAAGCTGTATGACTGTGGCAATGAGGAAGAAGGGGAAGAAACCTGTGACCACTGATTCATAGGTCATCCAGAGGTGGTGTTTATGGAACCACAGAGAGTTGTAGAGCCACTCCCGGAAGTAAGACTTGCTCCAGCGGGTCTGTTGGTTAAGCCACCGGAGGTACTTAGTAGGAGTCTCTGTGAGGCACTTGGAGCGAGCTGTATACTTAGTCCGGTAGCCAAGGCTCAGGACTCGGTTGGTGAGGTGCCGGTCATCCCCAAAGCTGCACTTGCTGCCTAGGAACTTCTGATGGTACCAGTCCTCCAGAAATTGCTGGAGGAGGCTGTTGCGGTACATGCCCAGGGGCCCACTGATACACTGTACACAGCCAAAGTAGGACTGGCAGGCCCGCTCCACGTTGAAGGCCATCCAGTACCGCACACTGCTCAGGAAGGAGATCCACGAATCATACTTGTTGAGGATCTGCAAGGGAACAGAGATGCTGGGCCTCTCCACTTGAGGACATGAGCCCCAAAGGAAACAAGACAGCGCAGACCCTGATGCCTCCCTGTCCTGGGTTCTGTCACTCATTACTCTTAATTTCTGGTCCTCAGTTCTAGCTCCCTCCAAAACTGGAAAACCCGAGGCTCAGAGGAGACCACCATACTCCATACACTGTCCCCAAGACCAACTCCACACTGTGTCATTCAGTGACAATCATGATTTCTCAGCTAACCTGCTGCAGCCCTAAAAGCCACCTTCAATCTCAGGAGGCAGCCCGTAGTGTAGAAGGGTTTGAAAAAGATGCCTGTCCCTACCCCAGCCACCTGTCCTGACATCTGCGGCAGGAAAGCCATGATGTGTTGCCTGCAGTATACTCTGGAAATACACTGGCCCTTTCTTCCCACTGTATTGTCCATGGTTTTTTAGCCCTAGTTCCATAAGAGCAAGGATGTCTCAAGGGTCTAACTTTGGGGCTACTTTGCTAGACAAAAATGAAATACCTTCTAGGATCTATGGCTTTGTAATAGTGTGCCCCTCCCTGTAATGCAGGTGGTTTTTTCCCCACATGTATACCTACTAAGTGATTTTTCTCCTTCACACAAAACAAAACAGGAAAGGGGCTGGTTAGCAAGTGAGGGGAATCTTCTGATATCAGAACTGTCAAAAGAGTACCTTCCCAAATAGTACAAGTCAAGGACCTCATTTCCCAGGCATATCCAGTTGGATTAAGAAGCAACAGAAAGTCCAGACCCCTACCCCCAAGAATCCTGGTTATTTCTTACTTGGACATCTCCCCCGACTCCCCCTACTTGGGGATCCTCTTCCAGGACTCGAAGCATCTCGATGGTGCAGGCTGGATCCAGCACAGTGTCCGAGTCGCATACCTGCAGAGAGAGTGCACTGTCAGCCCATCCAACCTTAGGCCTGCACACCCCACCAGACTGCTCCCTGCCTGAGAGTCACAACCCATCTCACATGACACACTTCCAGTCACTAGCAGAGACACCTGTGCCAAATAGAAAAGGCAAGAGGAAAACAAAGGAAAATAAGGAAAAGGAGCATTTAAATTCCAGGACTGACAGCCACTAAGGTTGAGAGAGAGAAAACCAGAAGACTGGTGCTGGGCCTAGAAATGGAAAAATGCTTAGCACTGGACAAGTTTTTAACTCCTACAGAGCCAGGGTCCACAGAAATGATCTGAGTGTATTTCTCTGGGGTCCTTGGGCAGAAAGGGGGAACTAGTCACTGAAATCAGATGAACACAGTAGGCTAAACCAAGGCCCGAAGACCTTCAAACAACCAAGAAATGGCTCCTGTGAGAGGCCACCTCCCAAGGCAGTCTCATAGGGTTGCTATTCAGACTCAGTGGTGAGGCTCTACCTACCTTCTAACATAGCTGGTACCTTCAGGGCTCCAACAGATTCCCTTGGCCCAGGTTCTAAGACCAGGTTACATGGCCAAGGGCTCTCTTGTCTGTAATCTGTTTTTTATGAGCATGGAAGCTGGCAGCAGTTGTCTCTATCAGACCCTGGATCAAATCCCATGCACCTGCCTTCCCTCCCCTGAGAAGGCTCATGGTCCCTTAACAGGTGGTCTCATTAGATGTTGAACCCAGAGTGTGAATTCTTTACTAATTCATCTTTTTTGTTTTAAGAGATTTTTGCTTTAGGGTACGTGCGCTTGCTGGAAAGACAGAGAGACGGTGAGAAATCACCTCCCCAACAGGGATGGCTATGCCACACCCCTTCTACATTCTTCTCTTGGGATTCTGGACATGCATGCACACATACTTGAGTTTCAAGCCACTGGGTCCAGGACTTGAACTGCAGTTGGCTGTGTGGGCAGGCAGCGCCTTAACCACTACACCACCTGCTGGCCCCACTTGGCTGTTTTCTAATGGTGCAGGGTCCAGATAACCACTGGGCAGAGAGATTGCTTTTACAGACCCCTGGTTGAGTTTGTTCTCAGCAGAGAACAATATCCACTGATAAACCAAAACTGTGTTCTGCAGAAGCTTAAAAGCCTTTAACTAAAGCCAAGTAAGAGTCCATCAGCCTGTAAGAAAGAGACTACCTCTGGTACCCCAATTCTACCCTGTTTTCTCTGCCTGTGTGGGAAGACAAGGTAGCCACAGAAGACTAAGGGGGAGTATCAGGCACAGCCCTCAGCCCCACACTCAGACTGGGTCCCTCCCATTTGCTTCCCTGCCTTCCCACCAGACACATCTGTACATCCTGGTGTATTCCTGAGAAAGTTCCAGGTAGCCTCAGGCCAGACCCCTTTACCTTCTTATTTCCCAGTAGTACTGGTTACACCAACACTTCTTGCCATGACTCTAACCCATCCTTCATGCTGCTCTGCTTCCTTCACTCTAAGGAGGTCTTTATTCTAGGACTAGTTGGGGAAGAAAATGCTCTTGTGCTTCCTGGGTTTCCACACTGGTTGGGGCAGTGTTTTCTCCCAGGAGGAAAAGATACACACACTCTCAGCAGGCTGTTGGAAGACAGACTGACATTCATCATTCATTCATTGGCTACAGTCCAGAGTTGCCTTAGGCAGTGATCCCAGGGCCATAAAGAGACAGGCATGGCTCTGGTGTGTGTCTATTTGCTGAAGCACCAGAACACAGGAGTGACCAGGTAAGGGAGATAGGTGGCAGGGTAAGTTGTAGGGAGTTCTGATCTTCAAAAGAGTGGGTAACAAAAGCTACTGTGTTGTGAGCATGTGCTAGGACTTCAGGGCTTTTTCCTAAGCTTTTGGTTCCCCAAGGTTTCAGAGGCCACATATCCCCAGGCAAACTACAGAATCAAACTGCCTCAGACTTTCACCCTTCCCTACATGGCTGAGGTGATCTTAGGCCTCAGAAAGCAGAAAAAAAAAATAAACATAACTCTCTTGCAAGGACATAACTTCTTAAAAAGCCAAAATAAGGTCTATGCAAACTAACTTTAGGTAGGTACACTAAATAGTAACGCTAGTTGGTACACAGGTAGGCTATCAAAACAGCCACTGTTCTTCCAAGCATTTACCAAGTAATGGGTAAAACCTGCTGGTAAGTGGAGAGAAGTGCAGAGACAGGAACAGAGGTGGTAGGGATACTGTAAAGTCAACAAGAAACCTGGGTCCTCACTCTTGGCTTCTACCTGGCACTGCAAATGTGAGAGCTTTAATTTGTTCTTGGGACCAGCAGTTAGCGTAATGACTATGTCACTGGACTCCCACATAGTCGACCGCGGTTCGAGTCCCAGACCCGGTGGCTTAAACTCACGCCAGCTGCGTGTGTGTGCGTACCCAAGATCCCAAGAGGAGAAGGGATTGCGGCGTGGCCATCCCCTCTGGGGGGTGGGGGGGGGGATTTCTCGCTTTCTATCTCTCTGTCTCTCTCTGTCTGGCGAGCGCACGCGCCCTATAGCAAAAAACCTCTCCAAAAAAAAAAAAAAAATTTCTTCTCAGTTTTGGTGATTGAAGCTGCATCAACCTAATAGAATTTCCGGACTCGTTTCAAAGACCACTTTGACCAGAAACTAGACAAGTTTTGCTCTGGGTTGCAAATGAAGCTGGTAGGCCACTGGCACCTGTGTCTCTCCACTTCCCACCTGACACATGAATTTGACACTAAAAACAGGACTTTTTGGCCCATAACTAAAACATTTTAAGTGCTTTCCACATGATTTCTCCACATTTCCTTTCCTTAAGTTTATTTCTTTGATGAGAGAGAGAGACAAGCACCTTAAATAGGGTCTCATACTGTGGTCGCCCCAACCTTTCAGGCGGCCAGGTTCATGGACACCAGTATGTACACCTGGCATGCAAAGGTCAGCCCAGGAACCAAACCCCAATTCTCAATAGGGCCTCTAGTACTGCAGAGCACCTGCACCATCACTGACTGCCACCATGTCTGATCCACCACACTGAAGAAGTTCATCCCCATGGTGCCAGTGGTGAGGCAATACTGCACAACAGGTAAGTTAAAGTATTGACTTTGAGACAGACTGGGCTCAAATTCTGCCTCTGCACCTTATAAGAAGAGTGATATGGGACCAGCTGTTGGTGTAATGGTTATGTCACTGTAGTCCCATACAGTTGACTGTGGTTCGAGTCCCAGACCTGGTGGCTTAAACTCACACTGGGTGCGTGTGCATGCGTGCCCAAGATCCCAAGAGGAGAATGGAGGAGAAGGGATTGCAGCCTGGCCATCCCTCCTGGGGAGTGATTTCTCGCTTTCTGTCTCTCTGTCTCTTTCTGGCAAGTGCACACGCCCTATTGCAAAAACCTCTCAAAAAAAAAATTTTTTTTTAATTAAAAAAAATATAACTGGGGGGGCCAGCAGGTGGTGTGGTTAAGGAGCTGGACACTCCCACATGGCTGACCATGGTTCAAGTCCTGGACCTAGTGGCTTGCTTTCTCACTTTCCTAATCTCTATGTGTGTGTGTGTGTCTCTCTCTCTGGTCAAATTAAAATAAACGAATGAATAAATAAAATTAAATAATTCTTTTTAAAATATATGTATATAATTGGGGGCCAGCAAGTGGCATGGAGTTTAAGGTGCTGGATCCCACATAGCCTACTCTGCAGTTCAAATCCCACACCAGTGGCTTGGAAATAATGCTTAGTTGGTGTGTGTATGCCCAAAATCCTGAGAGGAAAACTGAGAAGGGGTTGTGGTGTGGCCATTCCCCCAGGAGGGTGATTTCTCTCTCCCCCTCTCTGGTGATGGCACACGTCCTATAGTAAAAACTTTTAAAAAGAAAAACAAAAATAGTTTATTTTGCTGCAAAACTTTCTTCATAATACTTTAATAATTTTCTATGAATTTTTAGAACATCCCTCATAGTACTAATCTCCTTGGAGTATTATAGGATTAAAAGAGCCAGTATATATATTAATTCCCACAACAGCACCTGGAATGAAATGAATGCTACACACCTGTTTGCTATTATTACTGGGACACCAGTTCAGAGACCTACCTGGAGTCACACAGCTACTCAACAGCAGAACCAGGTTTCTAGCCCAGGTCTGTTTGACCTCAGAGCTGCTGTTTAGAACCATTCTGTCTTGCCTTATGTGCAGAGGGAGGGCTTAGCACAATAAGGGACATATATCTTAAAATTCCCGGAGGAGAGTATCTCTGGTTGGCCAAACACATGCCCATGCACACACTCTTTGGGAGGCACCCTTACCTGGATGTAGTCCACTGAGTCGCCAAGAGCTTTGAAGGCTGTGTACATGACCTCGCGCTTGCCTCCCCACTTCTGCATGATGCATGAGAAGGTGCTGCCCCGCACGACATCCCGCACACGGTCCATGCCCTCCTGCAGACTGGTCTCTGTCTCACCCTCACCTGCCTCATGGAAGTTGCTGCGCCACACAAAGAAGCCAGCTTGCTCAGTGCCACCCAGAACTTCATGGAAAATGTCCAGCATGTAGGCGTCCTCATGGCGATTACCATCCACCACCATGACAACCTTGAGGTCAGGGAAGGCGATGCGTTGGGCAGAGCGCAGGCACTTGCGCAAGTAGTCAGGATCCTCCTGGTACGCGGCAATGCAGAGTGCCACTGAGCGCCGCACAGGGGAGGGCAGCTTCAGTGGCCGGCCAGCACGCCGCATGTGCCTGTGCTCCAGGAAGGCAAACAGGCTCTGGATGAGCAGGTGCAGACCCAGGATGGCGCCGTACAGGCCAAAAGACAGGTAGTGCTTTTCTGTGTGGATGAACTGGTAGCCTGTCACATAGGCTGCCAGGATGCCACCCAGCACTACCAGAGCAAATAGGCTGGTGCCCACTACACGTAGGGCTGTCGTCAGCTGCACCGGCATCTGATGGGAGAAGGCAGAACTTAGGGTTAGTGGGAGAGTGGGCGTTTTTTGAGTCTGGCCAAGAACCGGGGAAATGACCCACTAATAAGAACCATTGTTGGGGGCCGGCAGCTGGCTTGGTGGTTAAGGGCACTGGAATCCCACATAACCAACAGTGGTTTGAGTCCTGGACCTGGTGGCTTGCTTTCTTGATTTCCCTGTCTCTCTCTCTCTCTGTCCCTCTGGTCAAATTTGAAAATAAACAAGTAAATATGTAAAGTTAAAAAAAAAATTCTTTAAAAAGAAAAAATCATTGTTGGGGCTGGCAGGTGGCGTGGTAGTTAAGGGTGTTGGATTTCCACATGGTTCACAGTTCGTGTCCTGGACCTAGGGACTTGCTTTCTTGCTTCCTTTGTCTCTCTGGTCAAATTAAAAAATCATTGTCATGGGGGCCAGCAGGCGGCATGGTGGTTAAGGCAATGGACACTCACACATGGCTGACCACAGTTTGAGTCCTGAAACTGGTCGTTTGCTTTCTCACTTTCTCTCTCTCTGTGCCTGTCTCTCTGGTTAAATTAAAATAAATGAATGAATAAATAAAAAATAAATAAATTTTAAAAAATCATTGTCACTTACTGAGGATGACTAAGACTACAGATTGAGCTGGGTTCAAATCCCAGCTCTGCCACTTCCTATCTGTGTGACTGCTAGGTTGTTTCATCTGTAGACTGTGGACTGTAGTCTTAATCTCCTAGCATCTTTGAGGGTTAAAAGCGTAGCAGGTAAAATTTAAGAGTAGCATTTACTCTTGTGAGAGAAACTAAAGCCCAAAGAGAGTATACCACACCCAGCTGGAATCTGACCCACAGACCTCTAGAACCTACTGATGAGCCTCAGTGGGGTGGGCCTGAGGCAGCTCTGAGCTGGCTGGGAGGTAGTCTCTGCCCTAAGAACTTCTACCTGCCCTGTTTGCACTAGGGGACTGCACTCTGGGAGGGGGATATTCACTAGTAACATAATGAAGAAAGGGGAGGAAAAGAAAGCTGGAAACAAAGAGGTGAGGGGCGTAAAGTTTCCTTTTTACAAGGCAAAATCAGTAAGAGAAACTTTCCCTGTTCTCTGCTTTTCACCTCATTTACTTGAGAGGCAGGACAGAAAGGAAAAGCCAGAGGGAACAGCAGACAAGGGAAAGGAGAGGAACCGAGAGCTGGGGGTGAACAGCCCTCCAAAAGCCTAGCAGGAGAGCAGAAGGGAACTGCAGCCACCACTGCAGCAGCCTAGGCCGGTGCTGTCTGCACAGCCCCATCCGCTTGGTCCTAGTGCCCATGAATCTGCGCTCTCCCTGGCTGACACTCCCGGAAATCATGCCAGGTTTATGTTTGCAACTGAGTTGGGGCTCTGAGCTTCTGCCTTGTTGGAAACTGCTGTTTTGCAAAGAGCCCAGGACTTGGCATCAGAGGCTTGGGTTTGAGACAAGCCTTCTTACCTCCTGGCTGCCTGACCTTGCCCAAGATTTCCCCCTGAGACTTGGTTTCCCCCTCAGTACATCAGGGGCTAATGGCGTCTTGCTTCAGATATCAGGGACAGGTAAACCATGTCCCTGATAATGAAAACACGAGTCCTCAAGGGCTACCCAAGTGGTTAGGCCAACTGTGGGTTCCTCCAGAGCCAGGAATGTGGAGGGGTGGTGTAAGGGAGAGGGGGGAAAGAAGCAGCCAACAGGACTGTCCCCCACCCTCCTCGCTGAGCCAGGCCTTTTCCCCAGCTCCTCTCCTTCCCACCTGCCAGCAGCAAGCCCCTTTTCTACCCCAGGTCTAGACAATGACCTCTCAGTTCCCAGCTTGTTCCCACTCTAGAGTCTTACTGAAACCAAATCCCCACCCCAATGCAAACACACCTTCTGGCCAGTCACCTGTCCTGTCCTAGAGGAGGGGTGAGGAACACACAGTCCTGCCCTAAATCAGCCTGAGACTCAGGCATTAGCAGCCTTCCGCAGCTTCAGTTCGCAAAGAGCTGTTGGCAGCCTCATCTCTCCGGGAAGCACACGGCCTCCCTCTGGGCGCTCTGCCCTGCCATCCCTGGGAACCAGCCGCGTGCTTCCTCTGCAAGATTCCCAGCTCTCCTAGTTCTCCCCTTTTCCCCCGGCCCGCGGGCGGGGGGCGGAGGGCCTCTC